TTTTTGTCCTGCCCACTCTCTACTTCGTCATCACCAGGAAGAACCCCTTTGTCTTCATTGGTGGCCTGTTGCAGGCGCTCATCACTGCTCTAGGAACATCATCCAGGTAAAGAAGCATCATCCAAAAGACGTTTAATATTATTCGCTTTTGTGTTGTTTTAGTGATCTGGAAGCAGATTTTACATGTGTGACACTAATGTCTGTGCTATTCCCAAATGAGTTGAAAACAAACTGCAATAACTTTTATTAACATATCAATCAGCAAAATAAATTGTGTCAGATTAATAATATTAATAAATTAATTATTACACCGCCGTCTCTTGCTCTTTCTGTCGTCTTGCAGCTCTGCCACATTGCCTATCACCTTCAAATGCCTGGAGGAAAACAACAAGGTGGACAAACGCGTGACCCGCTTTGTGCTCCCCGTTGGTGCCACCATAAACATGGACGGCACTGCTCTGTATGAAGCCCTGGCAGCTATTTTTATCGCTCAGGTCAATGACTATCAACTTAACTTTGGACAGATTCTCACCATCAGGTATGTGCTGTACACTGCACTCTTTTATCAGATTTGTTTTGTCACAATTTCCCTTAGATTTTGTGTGCATTTACGCATGGTGTTTCTTAGCCACCAATTAGTTGGAGAGGAATAAATAAGTAGTATTGTAGCCAAGGGAATACATTTAAGTGACCCTCTTCAGTGTTATTACCATAGAATGACTTAATATGGGGACAGAAATTGAATTTCCAGGTAATTCGCTCCATCTGCCTTTATTTGTTTTAGTATCACAGCTACTGCAGCCAGTATTGGAGCAGCTGGAATCCCTCAGGCAGGACTGGTCACCATGGTGATAGTACTAACATCTGTAGGCCTTCCCACAGATGACATCACACTGATCATTGCCGTTGATTGGTTCCTGTAAGTATTGGCTTTATATTGCTACAAAAAAAAAAAACACAAACAAAAAAAAACCTAATGTTCTTCTGTGCAGTCAGTAAAAAAGGGAGACTACGCCAGGCTTTTTCACAATTTAGCTGTGAAAATGTATCACTCACTGTACAAAGTGGAAATAGTTTGGTATGAGGGAGGAACTGGGAGGATTTAATTTTGAGAAAATAAAATGTAGTGCTGCTGTGTGGTATGAAATCAATCAATTTTGACCTAGAAGAAATATCTGTTGTGCCTTGCACTCTTGATTAGAGGATAAGAGGACAGCTTCCAGAGACACTCATTTCACATTCCACGATAAGTAATCCATCTGGATTTGATTCAATCCACAACTATCTCCTGCGCTAGCCTTTTCTTCCTCCCATCTACTGGCTGTGTACATTCAGTCTGAGGATAGCCTGAAACAATTCTAAAATCATGCTTACAATTTTCTAATTAAATGTATTTTTATGAACACATGTCGGTGTGCTTTTTTTTTTTGTTAAGTTTAGCATCTTTTGTCCTGTCTTGCTTTGGTTTGTTCTCTTTTGTTTCATGTCTAACCTCCTGTTGTCACCTGTCTTTCATTAGGGACCGGTTGCGCACCACTACTAATGTCCTTGGGGACTCCATTGGTGCAGGCATAGTGGAACATCTGTCTCGCCATGAGTTGCAGAACACTGACCCCGAGGTGGGCAACTCAGTGGTGGAGGAGGCAGAGAGGAAGCCGTACCGGCTCATCAACCAGGAGAATGAGTATGAAAATGAGCATCCTGTCAGCAGTGAGACCAAGATGTAAAGACAGGGTTAAATTTGCTGCACTGCTTTGAACCACATTTTCAACTCTCAAAGTCCTTTTGACTTCTAAAGTTTTCATCTGATGAGATCGTATGATTAAAGTCATTTACAGCTAGAATCTATTTCAGCCAAGTGAGTTTCACTAATGTGTGAGGCTTCCCTCACATCCCGCACACTTGAAGTGATTAGTAGCTTTGTGCTATTCCTAACAGTACTATATGTTATGCCAGAGGGTGGCAGCTGTTTACTATTAAGAATGAAAACAGAGCCCAGTGGTCCAGCGTGCATGTTATCCAACTTCTCCCAGAACTGTGATGACTAACCTTACCCACTAGAGGCCAGTATTGCTGTATCGGGAAAGCAGCCCACCTGCACACATTTTCTGGCTTTAATTGTTTTTCATTGGTTATGTTTATGAGAAATGTTGTTAAGTGGTAGTAAAAATCTATCAGGAGACTTCATGCACATGGACTAAATGGCCAACATTTTTCAGCCTCTTTGGAGGAAAAAGTGCTACTACAACTTCTGTACAGTCATTTGTGACTTTATTTTTTATGATCATTGTACAGATATCAGCTGAATGAATGATATATTTACAAAAAGTCATTTATCCCTTAACTATCCAAAGCAGTATGTGCTGTCAGGCAAACAAAGCTCTCTCTCTTTCTCTCTATAACTATCACCCCAATCACTATAATCATAAATAGTGACATACCAAAACTACTAACTCATGTTTTTTCTCTTTAAATCTGCTCAGCTGCAGATTCGAACTTTAAGTCAGTAGATTTTTTTAAACCAAAAAATTAGTCTGTAATCCAAATTTCTCTATAGCTTAACAGCAACCAACAAAACATGGTGCTGTTTCAATATAAAGACAGTAATAATGTGGTGACTGTAAGGTGGCACCTTCAGACTGAAAAATAATTGCCTGGAAAAAAAGACTTAAATGATAGGTTGGATGTTAAATTTTCATATTTTTCTAGAATACATTATGGTGGATTTTTCTGAATTCAGTTTGCTGTAGAAAGTACAATTGTATGTGTACTCTTCTTTGATTTAGATAGAGATCTAACAGATTTTACATCAGAGCCTTTTAGTTTAACGCTTAGCTTTACATTTGAACTAATTCAATATAAAGGACATATAGAATGCATAGCAGATTCTTTGTATAGAAGATCCATCTGAATATAATGTAATTGTATAGGGAAATGTAGATAAATGTGTATATTAATTGTAGCTTAAAATGGCAAAAGGTTACTTGAGGATTGTAAATGTAAAGACGCTCTTACCAAACTAACATTTCCTCTAGTTCCTCTTTACAAATGCAAACGGTGCCTGATTAAAGGACCAAATGTTTCTCTTTACACACTTGAGGAAAATGAATAGATCGTTTGTTTACAGTTCCTGGTGTCTCTCTTGATATGATTTTCTCATTAATTCACAGGTACACATACAGACACACACGAACAGGAAATAATGAGAGTTGTAGTTTTATCTTGCATGATTATTTTGTTTTTGTTCTGCTTTTTTGAATAAAAAAATTAAAATCTTTGGTGGTGTGTTTATTGTTTGCTCACGATTATCAGAAATGTGAAATAATCAGTGAATTCTTAGCTTTTGGAAATCGCATATAAATTGAATAAATCTTTGAAATCCACTTTTAGCGGTTGTGAACATACTGTCAGGGATGTATTTATTCAAGGTTATAGGAGGAAGAAAGCAGACCTTGATTCAGTTATATATTACATAAATTAAAATAAAACATTTAATCCTGGGCAGGTCTTAAAATAGGGCAAATAAAAGTTCAGATGAATTACTAAACATGGCCTATCAGATAGTGTCATTATTTATGTAAGAAAAAGATTTGGTCAAAAGGCAGAAATGGAGTATAAAAAAAGGAATTATTAGGGTAAGTAGCAGCAAGGAGCTGCTAATCAAATGAACTTGAATAATCAGTCATCAGCAAGTGTGAGGACCCCTATAAAAGCAGGTTTTGGCAGTTTGCTGGTCTGAAGCATTCAGGTGTGTGTTTACACAGTGCCCAAGAAGAAAGCCATCAGCAATGATCTTAGAGTAGAAATTGCAGCTGCCCATCACTCTAGGAAGAGTCTTAAGGTCATTTTCCAAAAATGTCCCTTCTTCTACAGTAAAAAATATTATTCACAAGTGAAAAAAGACAGGTGTAAATGTTCAAAAGAGTGGACATCCAACCAAATTCACACCACGTGGGACTGTACAGTGCTCAGTGAAATGGCAACAAAACAAAAACAACTACAACAACAAAGGTACATTTCAGACTCTGCAGGTCTCAGTTAGCATGTTCAAGTTCATGACAGCACATTTTGAAAAAGATTGACCACGTATGACTCATTTGGTAGGTTTGACAGTAGAAAGCCTCTTCTCTCTAAAAAGAAAGTGACAGCACATCTAAGGTTGCATCTGAATAAACCATAAAACCTCTGGAATGTCCTTTGTGCAGATGAGATCAAAGTGGAGATGTTTGGCCATAGTACACAGCATCATGTTTGGAGAAAACCAAACACAGCCTATGAACACACACAACTCATACCAACTGTCAAGCATGGAGGTGGAGAGCTGGTTATTTGAGCTTGTTTTGCAGCCACTGGTCCTTGGCACCTTACAGTTGTTAAGTGATAATGAACTCTGTATAGAAAAAGAGTCAATCAAGGTGTTGGCACAGTCAATGACCAGACATCAGCCCATTTGAAATGCTGTGGGGGGAGCTAATGAGAGCTGTGCATAAATATATGTTCAGTTATCCTGGACAAGACTGTGCTGAGCAGGTTAAACAGATTTTTGTAAATCAGTTAACATGCTTCTCATCCTAATGTAACTCAACAGACACACAAACAAACAAAAAGCAAAACAAAACAAAACCCCACACGTATGAAAAGGGAAGCGACGCAAAAAAAAAAAGCCCCGTTAAATTTCATAGCCGCTAAAGTAAAGTTAATGTTAATGTAGTAACAATGAAATAATATGTTAACACTCTGAAAGAAGTATGCTTCAGGAGTAGTTTTACATCACTTATTAATCTAGTATTCTGATTCCAGTAAAGTATTCCTGCTTTGACTTTAACACTTTTAACACAGCCAACTGAAATTATTACAGACAGGTGCACTGTGTATATTTTTAAATGCATCTACATAAGCTACATGTATGGGGGGCGG